AAAACGCTACGAATTAATTCCAACACCTAATATGTTTTATACATTTTAAGATTCGAAAGATTCGAGTCTATCCCACTCATCTCATTTCTCACGTAATTTATATCTCGTATCTAACTAGTAAATATACAGAGAGACCATCGATTTCATCGATCGTGATCGTAAAACGGCCTGTAATCCTTTGTCTTTCTTTCGCAGGCGATCCCATCAACTGCATATCGGAAACATCCTCCATCCATGTGATCAACACGTATTGCTGGATCACGTACACGTTCACGCTGCCAGGAAACCTCGACAAGTCCGTGGGTACCGAAGTGGCCCATCCGGGTCTGGGTGGCGATTACGGGGAGAAAAGGTACCACTCGTACTATCAGTGGGTGCCGTTCATGCTGTTCTTCCAGGGTGTACTGTTCTATTTACCACATTGGATGTGGAAGCAATGGGAGGAAGGTAAAATCAGGATGATATCCGAAGGCTTGAGAGGTGCTATGATCGACTCTAAGCAGGAACGTCAAGCTAAGACCGAAAGACTGGTTCAATATCTCATGGAGACCATGCACTTGCATAACAGCTACGCTGCTGGATATTTCTTTTGCGAGCTCCTCAACTTTATCAATACCGTAAGTACGCGTTCACGACATCAAGAAACTATCTAGAAACGATATTTGAATGATTTGGACGACGCTAGCATTTAAATCTCGTTTTTTAAATATAATTTCGCGTAATTTCATCACTATAGAATGTTTTTAAATTATTATAAAGCTACGAAATATACACAAGATATTAAAATATTTCTACAAAAGTAGAATCATACTCTTTATATTAAATTAATGATACAATGTCTTGTCTGCTCCAGGTTGGTAACATCTTCTTCGTAGACACGTTTCTGGGCGGCGCTTTTCTTACATATGGTACGGAAGTGTTGAAGTTTAGCAACATGAATCAGGAGCAACGTACTGACCCGATGATCGCAGTATTCCCACGCATAACTAAGTGTACTTTTCACAAGTTTGGTGCCTCTGGTACGATCCAGAAATTGGACGCGCTCTGCGTGCTCGCGCTCAATATTCTCAACGAGAAAATCTACATCTTTCTGTGGTTCTGGTTTATCATATTGGCTGTCTTTTCCGGCTTGGCGATGCTATACAGCATGGCCATAGTGTTGATGCCCAGCACACGCGAAGCGATTATCAAGAAGCGCTTCAAATTTGGCACATCAACTACAGTTAGCACGCTCATCCGAAAAACTCAGGTAGGTTTTCCTTTAGTTAGTCCAATTATGATAACTTTAATCTCGCGAAGAAAATGCTCTTGTAAAAGATGTCGATAGAACATTTGTTTCGAGTAATATAATATACAGTAGCATAATAGTCTGGAAATACTGACAAATATATTTTTAAAAGTTTCGATTCACTGAACGATTATTACGAACGCGGTAATCCACTTAAGAATTTAATAGAAACTCTCGAATAAAAGTTGAGAGACTCTGTAACTGTCGACACGATGCAACTTTTGTGTTATAAATGAAATCTTCGCGGATAATGGAAATATAAAAGTGTCTTTTTAAATGAAATTATAATCTTACATTTTAACGTGACATTTTATTCTGAAATTTAAGAAGAAAATCGAACTTTGTACAGGTTGGCGACTTCTTAATGCTTCATTTGCTGGGTCAGAATCTGAATCTCATGACGTTCAACGAAGTGCTAGAAGAAATGTGCCGTCGTATACAATTCGGTAATGATGCATCACCAACATCAGTACCTTCGGCACCCAGCACTCTCGAAATGTCGCCAATGTACCCCGAAATCGAGAAATTCAGCAAGGACACTGAGATCTAAATGCTAGAAGAAACTCGGCCGTCGTCGCTATTTTCCACTGCCCTTCTCCTTCTTTTACTTGTTCGTATTGTGATAATATCGAGGGCGGTTTTGCAATACCGTCATCTCGGTGCCAATAAAGAGACAGGTTCGTGCCGCGCTGTCGACTACATTATCGCACGAGGAGCTATGTAAAACCATACGCTCATCGGACATCTCCCTGCTGCCCATCGGGGTTCATGTTTAACGTAGCTTTACTGTCACACGACACTCGTAAAACGTAAGCTCAGCATTAAAAAAGTCTTGATACTTGTTTCCTGTCAACGAGAGTGAGTTTCACTCATTATCGCGTCCTTGTTAAAACACGAGGCGATCCTTGACGTTTATGTTCAATGAAACTTTCAATTGGAAATTTCTGAAAACTGCATCTTGCAAAGTGTATGATCTTTATTTTCTCTGTTTAATCACTTTTCATTCAAAATTATTATGCAATTTATTTCCAATTGGATTGGATTCATCGACAATTTCATTGTATTCGCTCGTGTATGAAATAATACATCAATAAATTTATACAAATTAATGCGCGAATCTCGGTAATTTCTTCATTGAAACTTTTGTCATTACAAGATGTTCATTTATGATTGTTATATTGCTATTACGCAATTCGAATATCTGAGTTTGGA